GCTTGCCATTTATGGCATCCGCGGCCTCTCGTTGCAATGATTTACGCGGCTGGCACAGATGTTGCTCAGATCTCGATTTTTCATTCAATTACCGAATCTATCTTGCTGTTTTAATTACGGCTATGAAACCCCCGTCTCGGCCCTCTTCAGACGCACTCCTGCCCCGCACTAAAGCTGCCGGCCCCGCGGAGCCGCCTCTGTGTCGTGTTGATTTAACGGCGTGCGCTGCTCTCAGGAAAATATTTTATGGAGCATCCGAGTCGGGCGATGCATATTGATTTTAGTCGATAAGTGCAGCGCAGATAACGCAGACCACAAAAGCGAGCGATCTGGAGGGCCTCACATGCGTCACCAGTTGTGAAGAAAGGAGGTTGGACTCAAAATGAGAATTGATTTGACAATGAGGATGCGCAGATAATGAAGTTGAGTGCAAATTTTTCTCTTGAGAATCAACAGGCTAAGATTCTAAAGGGCTCCGAGTTTGTACACAGAACACTTGACAGCTTTAGTTGGCTGAAGGCTTTGATGAACTGCTCAAGAGCCGCCAATCAGAGAGCTGCTATTGTTTGTATAATAATACAAGTAATAATACTTTTTGATTCATAAATATCCAGTGTTGGGTGTAACGCATCAGAAAGTAACGTGTTACACTAACAAAACTAGCATTAATTATCAACAATATAAAAAAGCTAACGCTGATTCTTTTTCTACCCGCCGCAACATTCCGCTCCGTAGGAAACGGAATGGATGTGAAATGTTTATAAATGTCCCGGATCATCACTGTCCTGCATTGGCAAGGAGATGTGTGTGTGTGTCTGTGGGTGTGTGTGTTTGTGTGTGTCGCTCTAGTGTACTGGGATGTATGCTGGGATAAAATGTTGAGAATAATTACATTGATATAACACGTTTTAGAAATTAGCAGGGGCATGTAACATTCAAACCACAACAATAAAACTCTCACGCTTCATTAGCTCAGGTTTTTCAGACAGAAATTTGAAAAAGTGAGTACCACCCTCTCTCAGCCAATAAGCTCTCAGCCCAAATAGTCAAATAGTGACTCAAAGGGCTCTTTTATACAAGCATGCTAAAGATTGAAAACACACAGCTTGAAGTGACTGGAGAAATTCACAAAAGAGTTTGCTAGTTTTAGACGGTTGGAGAGAGGTTTTACTAAATCAAATGGTCCATTCTGGTTGTGTGGTCGGTTGTACACATAAAGTTTTTTTTTCAAATTCCATCGGAAAAGAACAGCAAGAAATGACCGCGGTAAAGTGGTCTGCACATTAAAAGCGGGTTGCCTCTTTATGCTGTTACCTACGGTAAACATAGAAAGGGAAGCCGGGGGTAAGTAACAGCATAAAGGAGCAACCCGCTTTTAATGTGTGGACCACTTTACCATGACGGCAAAAAGCCGGGCCACTTTACCGCGGTGAAAAAGAAGTAACAGTAAATGTCTCCAAGCAGATCGATGTCAAGACAGAGGTGAGTCTGATCAATGTTTTCTCTCGTCATCCCAGGTCTCATCTGGGCTTTGGACTTGTTCAGTTCGGTCTCATATACTTATGTTTAGCTTGTCTATATATCTCCTCTGATCTTCTTGCATTAAAGTGCTTATATACAGTGCTATTTGCCCACTGAGTCGTTTAAAAGTACTCGTCGTATCCATGCTTCAGTATGTGCCGCTCTGTCTTCTTGCTACTTAGCGAGTGGCGCATGCGCACACGGGTGTAAACAAAGAGAGGATCTTTGTTTACGTCCTCGTGCGCACTGTACAATCCATGCCTATTTTACGGCATTATGAAGTATGTACTGTGTGTATGCAGTTGTTGTGGTCTTATTTGTTCCCAACATGTTACTCTTTCTGTTGGAAAGAGTATAATGTATAAGGTATAGGGAAAAAGTTACGTATTTGAGCTTTAAACGTCTTTTTAAGCAGTGTACATAAATCACTGGTTTCTGCTGCATTTACTTTCCAAAACAAACCTGAATCGGTCTCCATCACAGCTTCTCAAAATAACGTATTGTCTTTCTACTACACACATTGCCCAAAGGAAAGTCTTCACATATAAACTTACACATTTCCCACGCTGAAAGATCAAGGCTCTGCTCTCACTGACAAAGCAACCATCCTCCTGTGGACTCACCACCTGCAGCAGGAGCAGTGAGGGGCTGGTGCTCTGTGAAGTGAGTGGCAACTATGACTGCACCTGCCCCCCAACCTAGAAATGTACAAAGGGGAAGAAAATGGATGAATGGATTTCCATAAATCTCTTTCTTTGGTTATGTCCCAGAGTGAACACTTTGGAGTGGACGAGGCCTCTGAACCAAGTCCCTGTTCAGACGTGCAGCAGTTTCCAGACGGTGATACAAATGCACAAGGTCTGCTGCAGGAGCTGAGGAGGAGAGTGTGAGGCTCAAAGGCACAAACGGGAAGTCAGGAGCCAAGCAGGAAGTACCAACGTCACCAACTAAAATATGTTGAGTTTTTGTTGTGGTCATAAAGACTACAACTATGACAAAAATACACATGTATGTAAATTTCTCCATTGTAATATCAATCTTATCTTATCATATGAGTTGACTTAAAGTTGGGGTACCTAACTTTTCTTTGTAATGAATGAATCCCGTTGTTTGTCTACAAGTAAAATGCAGCTAAAGTCAGACTGAGACCTGGACCTCAGTGCGCACTCTCTCCTCCATTCTCCTCCTCTGCTCCACACCTAGGCGCATTAACATCACTCAAATCTGAGAATTGTCATGTTATCGGCTCTGGTTCCATCACACCAGGGACTAGACCTAGGGGACTACGGCACCAGGGTCTAGACCTAGGGGACTCCAGCACCAGAGTCTAGACATGAAGGACCAGTGAGCACCACTCTAGGATGTTCCATAGATTGACACATTGACTCACTTTCTCTCTCACACACAGTCCAACACATTTACGCAGACACAAAAACTCTCTCACACACATTCACTTTCTCTCTCACACACACTCTAACACACTTACACATACAGAAAAACTCTCTCACACTCAAAAAACGTTCTCTTTCTCTCATACACACACGCTTGCTCAGACATACGCACACACTCTCTCTCAGACACATAAACTCTATCGCTCTTACATACACACTCTCTCACACACATTCCTCAGACTCTCTCACACACACACACACACTCTCTCACATAGACACACGCATACTCTCTCTCTCACACGCACACACACATACTCTCTCTCATACACACACACAGTTGCTCAGACATACGCACACACTCTCTCTCAGACACACATAAACTCTATCGCTCTTACATACACACTCTCTCACACACATTCCTCAGACTCTCTCACACACACACACTCTCTCTCACACACACACCTTCTCTCTCACACACACATACTCTCTCATAGACACTCTCTTGCAACCACTCTCTCTTTCGCACATACTGTACACACACACTTTCTCTCTCGCACTCACACTCTCTCTCTCTGTCTCTCTTTCTCACACACACACACACTCTCTCGCTCTCTCTCTCTCCCCCCTGCCCCCGCAGGCCTCAGTGGGGAGTGCAAGGTGAGCCTGTCATGGCGGTGCTCCTCTGACAAACATAAGGAGGTGTTAATGGTGAGGCGGTGACGGAGCAGGTCCCAGCACCATATGGCTAATTGCCACAACAATATCCTGCCTGTTATTAATCAAGTTTCCATCGTGTGCCATGATAATTGGAATAATTAGAAAGGGAAAACGCTGCTGGGAGTGCCGCAAACTCAAAAATATACAGAGTTTGCGGAAACCGTGTCACCGTGGCGGTCTGTGCGTGCCCTCAGGCCGCGCTCGCTCAGGTGCACTGTAAAAGTGGAACAGCAGCTGGATTCAGGTCATCCTTCTATAGGTGGGAGTATTTTTACCCGAAAGAATTATTTTCTAATGTAAGATTTTACTGGTTTGGTTTGACTGGGTTGTGTAAAAAAAAAAAAGTGTGTGTTAGTGCCATAAGAACCAACTCGGACTCTGAGCACAAGGACAGGACTCTGAGGAGCACAGGGACTGGCCTCTTGCTGGTGCCCAGAGCAAGAGGACTAAACTGGCGGCAGGTTTTCAGCTTTGAAAATCTGGGGCAGTCTTCCTGAAACTGTAAGACAGGCTTCTACTCTGACAATGCTCAAATCCAGATTAGTTTTGCTGCATCAACTGAGGGATTGTATCTTCTCTTTTTAATGTGCTGTGGTTGCTTATTATTTTAATGCCTTCTGTGATTGTTTCTATCTTGTTCAGTTGCCTTGTGGATGAACTGTGAGCTGGTACTAAAGTGTTCTAACGGACAGTAATTGGCCATGGAAATTCCCATGATACAGGCTGGTTATGGGTAGGTTTCTAGGGCTGGTGGAAACAAGGCTATTAAGTTCAAGTGCCCCCCACGCTAGCATTTGTAAATAATGCTAGTTCATGGCTACAAAGGCTAAAGGGCTGCAGTGGCCTCAGTCCATGTTTTGTTTCAGGATGAAACAAATAATGTTTTTGCGGATTTTTTTTTATTGAAATCAGGTCAATGAGTTAATGGGAATTGTTACAATAATTACTTACTTTTATAATGAATCACTCGAAATTTTGGTCTACTGTAAATGCATTGGTGTCCATATGAAGTACAGGACTTTTCATTAGTTTTCACATGTATTTTTTCTCTTCTGACAGAAAAGTGACAAAGAGAGGACCCCCCTCATTTAGCCCAAAGAATCAAGTGACTCACTGGGCTCTTACGGAACGGATTATGTGTTTTCGAGTGAGATGAAGACAGCATACAGCATGTTGTGGTCAGATTAGTTCACAACATTTTACAAGACTATTTCTGTTAGACAAACTTCATGAACTATAAGTTAGATAGCCCAGTATTTTCCGATCCATATTTTACAGTGCGTTCTCCTGCTCCCTGTCACCGCTCCTCCGCTGGCGGCTAATGTGTCTCCAGCCTCTCGTTTGTGTCGTGTTTACAGTGCGCGCTGACGAATGGAGCTGATCCGTCATGAGGACGTGGTGTCAGAGCTCCGGGACGGGACAGGTGCAGAACCAGGTCATGGGCCCCGCAGAGGAACCACACGATTTACTCATCTTATTATTAGTGTTGTTGCCAAAAATACTATACATGCGTGTGGAATCTAGCGGTGGAACCAATCTGTTTTAGAGTAGGAAGGAAAGCTTTATGTGCAATTTTATGTGGGAGGTGTTGCTGCTTAAACCTGTCTCACCGTGGTCTAGAGGCCACCCACGGTACTACAGCCTAAATCCACAAGGGCTCCCATGTGTTTGCATTATGTCCCACCAACATCCCCCGTCACAGCAGACAGTCAAGGCATCATCAATCGTCACATAGAAGCAGTCGTCTCACAAAGTGGCCAAAGACAATAATCAAACAGTTCCAACACAGGAAAAGCAATAACAGACCATTTGTTCATAAGAAAGCGAGAAATCCCAGATCATCACTGGCACTAAGACCCTCCTGCATCGGCAAGAAAAGCACTCAGAAGTCCACCCTTACTGAGAAACGTCAGGGAGGAACTTTTGACAGAGGGATCCACTCCCACAGACGGACAGGCTGTAGTCCAGGACGAAGGGGGCTTCCAGGCAGGGAGGACGGTGTCTCTCCCAGATCCTGGGGCATAATCCTGAAACGGTGCCTCTGCATGTTTAGTTCTGACAAAGGGCATCAGCAGGAGACCAGTCTGATCTTGAATGTAGAGACTGTGTCTGCTTCATTGACGTGGATGGGGAGCTCATTCCACAGACTAGGAGCTTGGTAGCTAAACGTTTTGATTCCTTTGACACTCAAAAAGCACAGTTGTAGTTGTAGAGACCCCCCAGTGGCATCACCTTAAATATGCCTCACCTCAGACAGACCTCAGCTCAGGTCTCAGCTCCCTGGTGCTGTCAAACCAGCCAACGCCATGTCACACAGCGGTGTTGTTCATCACTACAAACAGATGGTGCAAGAAAGAGTATTTTCAGGAGACACAGATGTGATATGTGTGTATGATTTTATAAATGTGACTGACACCTTTTTAATATATAGCTGTTTTATGATCATCACGTAGCATCTTGTGAAAAGAAATATGATATTAGATTTACAAAAATACAGGAACAGTGAATTAATAACATCATACTTTTAAGGAAATCACACAAGCATCCCAGTTTACTCGATGGTTGCTACAGTCCGTTCTATGAATAACTGTAACGCCCAAACTCCAAGATGGAGGTCTATTCTAGTCAATGTACTCTATGTTGGCCACGCATAGACTGCTTCAAAACTAGAATTTGTGGATTGCCCTAAAGACAACTGCAGTCGTCTCGGAACACCTTACAAAGTTGGATCTTTGTCAACAACGGATCAGAGAGTTAAACAGTTAAAACACAAGAAATGCAATAATAACAAACACATAGAAACCATTGGTCCATAGGGAGCGGGATAACCACTGTCCAGAAATGTTAATAAATGTACAGTAATGTCCCGGATCATCACTATCTTTACAGTCTGCACGGAACCACTCACAAAGCTCAAGGGAAGAACTTTAGAAACCTTCGGGAGGCCAATATTGAGAGAAGGATCCACTCCCACAGACGGACCGGCAGTAGTTCATGAGGCTGTAGAACAGGGACTGAGGCTGTAGATCCTGGACTGAAGCAGGTCCCAGGCCAGGAGGGGGCCGCAGCCCATGAGTCTAGAATGGGAGCGCCATGAAACAGACAAAGGGATGTGGGTGAATAAAGTTTTAGCTCGACCCGGGCCTACCTGTACATGTATGGTCAACCAAGAGGACTGGAACTATCCCCCATGATGCATTGCTGGTCTCTCTCTGGTCTCTCTCTCAGGTCTTTCTCCCTGGCCTCTCTCAGATCACTCTGGTCTCTCTCTGGTCTTTCTGGTCTTACTGTGGGAAACATAAACTTTCAAACCCAACTGTATTTTAAGTAGCCCACACACACTACTCTTTGGCTTTAGATCTGTAAACAGCATTACGACACACACACACACAGAATACTCAATGGTCTTGGCGTCACAGCCGTCCATTCAAAGTTCTGTCAATGCAAACGTGACATATGCTAAAAATGGCTGTTTCCTTGTGTTGTATTGACAAACTTCTCCGCACCGCTCGTTGCCGTGGCGTTGATGTCCGCCTTAAATCAGGCCGCGTGACGTTATGTGCTCCTACAGATGGAGACGGATGCTGAAGGAGCGCCGCAGATTTATGAGACGGTATGGATCCAGGGGGAGGGCAGCCGCGGCGCCGCCATCTCCTGCGGTTATGGAGCGCACGATGGCAAAAAGCATCTGCTGCTCCGTCCATAAACCTGAGCACAGGCCATAAGTGTTCGGAGCAGCGCACTCTGGCCCGGCCCTCCCCAGGCTGAGGGGAGAGGGTGAGGGCTGAAGGAATGAGGGCTGAGGGTGAGGGAGTGAGGGCAAGGCAAGTTTATTTGTATAGCATAGTTCATAAGATTAAGAGATCCTTTATTCGTCCCACAGTGGGGAAATTTCAGTGTTGCCTCACCAGTTACAGAACAGTAGGAATGAGGAGCCCACAACACAAGATAAATGAAGAATAACTCTGTGCCAAAAAGAAATAACATCTTGATTCAGAGTCATTAATTTGCCAGTTACAGTAAAACCACATTGGAGTCCCCAGTGTGCACAAGACAAGTACATCCATAAAACAAACACAAATTGACACTGTGAAATCGATTGACTAAAACAGTTTCAATACAAGTGCAAGATCATTTAAAGTGCTCTGTTCAAACTGATAACACCTTGTGGAAAGAAGCTTTTAGCATATCGAGATGTCCTGCATCTCAGTGAACGATATCTTCTGCCAGAAGGAAGAAGCTGGAACATGGCTTTTCCAGGGTGGCCAGCAGAGTCATTGATCAATCTTAAGTCTGGATTCATAAAGAACCTCCAGAACAGGAAGCTCACAGCTCCTGTTCTGGCTCCTGTCATCTTTAACTTTTGCATAATAAAGAAGCAAGTCTAAAATACTTAACTTTATCATAATAAAGAAGCTAGTCAGCCGCCCCACTGTGGCACCTGGTGTTCCCAGAGGTCTCCCGTCACAGTGGTAGTAGAACCCAAAAAAGTAGAGTAGCGTGGAGTAGGGTAGATCAGAGAAGAGTAGAATAGAGTAGGACACAGAGATATAGTGGATAGTTTACATCACTGCGTAACATAACAGAACAGAACCTAAATACTAGATAAGATAAATAAGGCTCCTCTGCTCCTCTGCCGCTGGAGGTGAGCTCAGGGTGGATCCTCAGATTAGTTTGTGTTCCACTTAATGAGGCAGCGGAGCATGAAGGTCCGCGCTCGGCTAAACGCTGCTTCATTATCAGCATCGTGTTAAAGACCAGCGCCACCCACCAGCCCCCAGCGCGGCGGCGGCACCAGAGCGCGCCAGGACGGGGCCATTAGCAAGAGTCAACAAGGACGGCCATCAGAGAGACAGGGACAAACATCACGGCTGGTCCCCGAGGGATTGACCCTCACTCAGGATTGTGCTCTTAATGTCTGTAGTTGAGTTTAGCTCTTATCACACATTGATAAATAGATAGATAAAGAGATTGAAAAAATAGATTCGGACAGACTGATAAATAAATGTATTGACCTTATTGATCCGTGTAAGAGGAAATCAGGTGTCCAGCCGCGGAAACACATCCATCCGTACAAACAAATACTTCTAAAAGTTACTGACAATAGTAATAAAGTGCAACATCACTTCAGGTCACAGCAGCAGAGGTGGAGCAGCCGCTGGTTATTTGCTCCTTCCTCTCCTGTGGTTCATGTTTGATGGTTCAGAGTAAAATTCTGAATGCTTTATTAGCATTTCTCACAATAAAATTAGCACTCCTCCAGTGAATTTACGCTTGATTTGCTTGTACGGACCGTGAATCCTCTTTGCTCTGGTCCATGTCAGTGTAAAACCATGAACACCTTATCGCAGTAACATTTACAGCTTAAAAAAAGCAAGAATAAGGATAATGATTGTAAAACTTATTTAGAGCTACTTAGAACTTGTTGCTATTTCCAGCCCATTCAAAAGGTCAGCCCCATTTCCACCAACCCCACTTGGACCGACTCAACTCTAGTCTACTACTTTGTTGCCATTGTTGGGAGAAGTCATAACTAAAAACATGTACCAGTGACCACTACTTATGGCAAAGGCTTTAGAATGTAGAATAAATTAAGGATGGATCAAATCAGACTGTATACAAACGGACAACGCTAACACGCTATCCCAATGAAGCCCAATAGGGAAGTGCACACAGTGAAGTTTGGCCCCAACTTTCTCTAGCTTCTATTGACTTCTAACCCTAACCCTAACCCTAACTCTCCTCACACTCACCATTTTGGTCTTAAATCTTTAGTTGGGCGCACACTGTGATACTGTTGTTTATATTGTGATATTGTCTTTGTAAATCTAGATATGAGCCAGCAGCTGTATGTTTAAGGGCTCTAAAACCTCTCACACACACTGAACTCACACCTGCTGAGTGCCATCATGGAGATATCAAACCTGTTGGTTGTAGGTCTGAGCGCTGCTGCAGCTGTCAAAAGATGAGCACTCATTGTAAAATACAGATGCAGAGGACACTGAGCTGAAAGTCAGGTGCAGGACTGAGGCTACAGGAAGACCAGAGAGAGAGACCAGAGAGAGACCAGACAGAGACCAGAGAGAAAGAAAAGAGAGAGACCAGAGAGATACCAGAGAGAGACCAGAGAGAGACCAGAGAGAGACCAGAGAGAGACCAGAGAGAGACCAGAGAGAGAGACCAGAGAGAGAACCGAGAGAGACCAAACAGTGAGACCAGAGAGAGACCAGAGAGAGACTAGAGAGAGACTAGAGAGAGACCAGAGAGAGAGACCAGAGAGAGACCAGACAGAGAGACCAGAGAGAGACCAGACAGAGACCAGAGAGAGAACAGACAGAGAGACCAGAGAGAGACCAGAGAGAGAGACCAGAGAGAGACCAGAGAGAGACCAGAGAGAGACCAGAGAGAGACCAGAGAGAGACC